AGGTCCCTAGAAGCAAGTTTATGGCTGATACTAAAAGTCAGAGGTTGGGGCGCCTGGGTGGCTGAGTCGGTTGAGCGTCCAACTCTTGATTTCGACTTGAGTCGTACTCTCACGGTTCATGAGTTCGAGCCCCGAGTCGGGCTTGCTGCTGTCAACTCAGAGCCTGTTTGGATCCTCTGTCCCCTTGTTCTCCGCCCCCCCTCCCCCCCGGAAATAAATAAAAATTAAAAAAAAAAACAAACCTGAATTTGGTCAAGGACAGCCTTTAGTGACTCATGTTAAAAAAAAAAAAAAAGTCGGAGGTTGTAAGGGGATGTGAAATGTGGCCTGTAAAAGGCCACCCAGCCCCAGGCAGTCCTGGAATCCAGGTGAGTCCAGATCCCAGTTGCAGTCCCAGGTGGGCCAGCTCAGCTCTCCACTCCGTTGTTCACAGGGGTTGACCTGGATCGCGGAAAGGCTGTCTTGAGGCAGAGGGGACTGTTCTGCGAGGTGCAGGGCCATGGAGCAAACCAAAGGATGCCCTCAGACAGAACTCAGCCACCTCCAGGTTTTCCATAAAGCAGAACTCGCTCTGTGTCTGTGTTTCGAGGAAAACCAGTAGAGTATTTGCCGTCCCGCGATTTTAAAATCTAAAAGGACAGTCTGTACAGACCCTGAGCTAGAAGGAGTTCCTCCACTTTAATTTTATGACGTCTTTGTCGTTCACTTGGTCCTTTGGACGTGCTATCTTTTAGAAAGCCACTCTGTCTGTATGACCTGATTGTAAATACCAGGCAGTGAGACATCTCCCTTCTTCATCCGGGCACAGGGCTGAACAGAGAAATCTCTGGGACTACCCAGAGCCCTTACAGTGTGTCACATTAAAGACAGTGCTGGATTCTGGAAAAAGAGCCCGCTGAAACGGAATCGGGAAGAGAAACCTTTTGCACTCCCCGTCATGGCATTTACACAAACAGTTTTTTAACACGGTACCAGGTGCCGCGGGTTGCAGACATGATTTACATGTGGCCAGGGCCTCCGGGAGCTTCTGTAAAACTGTGGGAGGAAGAGAAGTTCCGAAATGTTCCTCCTATCATCCAGGCAGAGACCCTTTGCAAAGCCACGTTGCCCATCAGGAAATGCCTCGCTCACATTAGCTTAAAAATAGTCTTCTTGTTTGGTCCCCTTGGGGTGGGATTTCACAAGCATGTATTCCCACCCAGTCCAGTTGTCCCAATTTTCTCTCAGCATGGATGTGGTTGCCACAGCAACCCTGTAAACAGTATGTATCTGTGTCAATGATTGTATTTATATATCTTAAAGCAAATATCACCCAAGTCCAGGAAATTGACTCTCCTGTGAACACGACAGCTGGAACAGGCGAAGAATCCTACTTCCTATTACATCAGAAGGGGAGATTTTTTTTCCAGTGCAGATTTGAACAGGAGAAATGGGCACCCCAAGGCTGGAGCATCTAGACCAATGTCCTGTCTGAAGTTGGCCTTGGCCAGGACAGCCATTGAGCTGCCAGCCCCGAGTCACACATCCAGGGCTGCCTTGGCCTCGGTGGCCACGGCATTGGGAAGAAAGCACTCCCAGCTCCAGCCTCTGTACTCTGGGTCAGAGAGAAATGTAACTTCAGCTGGGTTCATTGTATTTTTTTTTTTTTCTGGCCCGAAGGGAATGAGGAAACCAATAGCCAAATAAATATTCTAGAATAGGAGGCCACGAACTATAGCCTGCAGGCCAACTCTGGTCTGCTGCCTGCTTTTACAAATAAAGTTTTATTGAGACACGGCCACGCCTGTTTCTTTACATATTGCATATGGCTGCTTTCATGCCACTATGAATAGAGGTGCAATAGAGACCAGGTGGCTCACAAGGCCAAAAGTAGTTACTAGATGACCTTTACAGAAAAAGTCTGCCAACCCTGTTCGAAACGAAGCAGAGTAAGGATTTGGGGAGAAGCTGGATAAAGGGTTTGAAAAAGAAAACTGTTCTCCCGAGAGACCAGGGTGAGGAAGGAGCCAACAAGGAAATCTAGTCCTTGGGGCTGAAGAGGCCACTGGATGTCTAGTCTACAAGTCACCAAAATCTGAGGCAGGAAACAGCTTTCTCCTGAGAGAAAGGATTTGCCTCCTTTAACCCGAGAGAAATGAGAGACGATGGCTCCTCAGATCTGATTGTATTTTCCAGAAAGGTTCTTCCAGGTAGAGACATTGACCCAGCTTTGCCAACCAGTAGGTGGAGGCTAGAGGGAGGCGGGAGGCATCCAAGCCGGCGGGGGATTTGTCCGATTTGAACAGCCAAGCTTGTGTTTGCCCGGAAGACTAGGGAGATGGGGGGAAAAGTGGGCAGAGGAATTTCTTCGGAGGCCCTGGTTGGCGCTGGGGTCGTTCCTGAGAGGGAAATTGGGAGTTTGGCCCATTGGCTTCACAGGGAACCTGTACGCTTTGTACTTAGTAAAGGAGAAGTAGTTTTTACTTGCTTCTGGAAACTCCAGTGTTGCCAGTTGGCATTCTGAGGCTTCAGTCTGCCCCTGTTCTGTCCCAGGACATGCTTTTCAGTTCCTCAGGAAACAAAATGGTCGTTTGCCCAGAGAGACAAATCCAGGTCCAGAGTTGAATCTGAGATTCCACTTCAGCCTCCCTGCTGCGTGAGGCAGGTGTTTGATCCCTCGGTCTTTACTGCTCTACCTCTAAGACAAGTGCATCCCCAGCTTGGGAGGGTCTTTGCCTAAAGCCTTGGCTTATTTTCCTTTTATGACTGTGGAAATTGAGTCCTGGCTAATGTCTAAGCTGGTACTTTATCTTCTCAGTATAGGTTGTGCTTAATTTTAGCTGGTGAGTGTAAGCGATTGCATAACGTGTGTGTATACGTCTATGTGTGTACGTAAGTATACATACCCCTGCGTGTGTATGCATATCTATTTATGGAAGACTCAGTTCTTGTCTTTATTGGGTGGAAATTTAGCAGCACTGGAAGACTTCAGCCAGTTTCAGTGACAGGAAATAGAGAGCAGAAGGTATAATAGCATTGACCCAGATCGGGGCATCCACCTTTAGGCTCCCCATTTCAGGGGTCACCCCATCTCTCAGAGCACCGTGTGGTCCTCCATGTGGCACGAAGCAACTTCACCTGCCAGGCTCTAGGGACCGGCACAGAGGTGAACAAGACCAATAGAGTCCCCGTCTTCAAGGAGCATAATTTTAGCAGGGGAGATAAACAGGAAACATGTAGTGATCCAATCAACGAGTTACGACTGAGATGACCAGTAGCAGGAGAAAGTGCCCAGAGTTGCCAGAGCTGACGGCGGGAGCCTGAGCTCCTGGGGAAGGGGCTCAGAGACGTGGTATTGACTTGCTCCTGGCGGGATGGGAGGACACACGGCGGGTGAACCAGGTGGAGCAACTGGGGACCCCGTGACACTGGACGGACTCGTGCAGAGGAGGAGCCTGTCAGCAGGGGCAGAGCTGGCCTGAAGCTTATTCAATTGGGAGGAAAGTCCTCTTGAAGAAAAATGTGAAGTTATGAAAGAAAAAGTTAGGTAAAAGGCCTCTGTCAGGGCTTGACAGCGAGAGACCCTCAGGCTTCGGTTTCGTTAGCTTGATGGTAAAGTCACGTTTGGTGCTTTTCCCTCATTCCTGCCCTTGGAGAGCCCGCTTCTCTTGCCTGAGATATCCACGTAGCCCACATCCTCTTCCTCCTGTTCTCTCCTTGCTTGAGATGGGAAACAAAGCACTTCTATTCAACAGTCTTCTATTGAAGTCTCCTGGAAGTCTGGCTCTCTCCCTGCCCCCAGTAGTGTCCAAAAGAACATGGGAATTTCCTTTTTTGCCCAAGCCTTCCGTGAGTTTCTCCCCCGCCACAATCAAGGCAGGGAATGTTGGCTGGGGCGCTTTATTCTTCTGGAAGTTTGACACAGGAGTATGAATTTCCATAGGGCAAAATTACTCTGTCTGGTAGGTCTAGACTTTCCGCTGACCAGCAAGTTCACCGGAGTGCGCACTGGCGTTCCGAGAGCCGCCTGGACGTACCCTGTGGGAGGGGAGCAAATCACCGGGAACCGTTTTCTGTGGTGGGGAAAAACCCAGACACGAGCAGTGACAGAGGAGAGGTTTAACAGTGAATGATTTACAACTAAAAAATGACAACAGGCTCTTCTCTCCAAAATCCAACAGTGATCAAAGCCGCTTAACAATACTGAGCAGCGTCTGTCAGTCCGGAACACAGGGAACCTGCTGTCCGTAGATGAGACACGTACAAGAGCTGGAGAGCAGTCTGAGGGAGACATCGGCAAGCCTGCTTGTGGGCCGTAGGGGAAAACCGTAACTCCTCCTGAAGGGCCGCTCCCGATTCCCCTGCCAACCCCCACGGGTAGGCCCAGCCCCGAACACAGCGCAGGCCCTCTGGACACACCGAGCGTTAGGCCCCAGCACTGGGTGGGGCTTTGGCCATCGAGGCCCACTGTGGGTTAGAGGCTGCCTCCCCACCCCCGAGACACGGGAAAGGGTCCCTTCCGCCCCGGTGTGCTGCCCTCAGCCTAATGGCGTCATTGCCTTTGACTTTTCTCTTTGAAACTAAGATGATAAAATCCCATCGCTCAGGCGGAACCCACGTCAAGCAGAGATTTTCTGCCTCCCCACTTCCCAAGACAGCGGACAGAAGACAATGACCCCGCTGTCGTCGAAGAATTCTTTACACGACCGGACTCTTACAAACTCACGTCTGAGAGCATTTAAAGATCTTCTCACAGGTGGAAAGGACACCTGCCATGTACCCGTGTTGAGGCAACCACCCGAAGAAGCATCTCCCCACACTGAGAAGTGAATCAGATAAGGAACGCGCTCCCCAGTCAAGGCCACCGCCGACTGGGCTTTCTTGGAGCCTGGCTCCGTGGGAGGGGAGGGCGTGGGTGCCGGTTCCCCGGGAAGAGTTCCCGCCCATCTAGAAGGACGCGGTTGGCTGGTGTGTACTCCTTTGCCGTTAAATCCTGTCCTTCCTGTTCTATCTCCCCCCAGACCGTCTTCGAAAGGAATTGCCGTTCAGAGGATTGTGCCACAGACCTGCAGCTTCGGGGCCAGCTGTTGCTCTCCAGGTAACCCGGGGCTCCTCCCACGACCTCATTCTGAGAGCTTCCAGAGTGTCTTGCCTCCAGGCCCAAAGCCGGAATGTGCCCATTTCCCCACCGAAGAGGGTCACTAGAGTTGGTGGGTGACAAGGGCGTCTTACAGCTTAAAAGAGTGTATGTTCTGCGAGCATTTTCACAATAGCTGTCATACGGATGGGATGATTCGCTTTTTGTTTTCTTTACAATTCCACATACCTCCCAATGTAGCCCATGTTTCTCATTCCTGGATCTGTGTGACGTGGGGGGAAGGGAGGAGCTATTTTTTTATTTTTTTATTTTTATTTAAAAAAAATTTTTTTTTAACGTTGATTTATTTTTGAGACAGAGAGAGACAGAGCATGAACGGGGGAGGGGCAGAGAGAGACAGAGGGAGACACAGGATCAGAAACAGGCTCCAGGCTCTGAGCTGTCAGCACAGAGCCCGAAGCGGGGCTTGAACCCACGGAATCATGAGAACACAATCTCCGAGTCAAGTCGGACGCTAACCCACTGAAGCCACCCAGGCTTCCAAGCGAGGAGCTATTTTTTGTTGACTCGTTGTGTTAGGTTGAACCAGAAGAAACTGCCAGTATTTAATTGGGACAGTTCCTGTAATTCGACTTACTGTTATATAAAGATTCTTTAAAAAAAAAAAAAAGAAAAACTTCTGCCACCCGGCAATCACCCTAACAGTGGCATTTGCTTTAACAACAGGTAAAGGTTCTATGGAGGAAGGGGGTGAAGGAGAGGGGCAGGCTGTCCTGACTCAAGTAAACAGTCCATATTGTTTCAGGCTTTCTTCCCACCATATGTGGGTCCCCAGGCAAGGGTAGACCACACAGAGGCCTTCTGTTTCCTCTTTGCCAACCTTTTATTTTAGATTTCTTGTACGACGAAGGTGCTGATCCTGAGTCATCTGGCCACATTTCAGAGAACGGTGTCCTTTTGGGACAGTTTCTTCTGAAAGATTGTTTTAGCCTGGGGGCCAGGAAAGTCTCTCCAGGCGTCTGTTACCATTTCTCACAGAGTCATCACTTGTGACAGTTATTCTCTAAAACATCATACTATATCCCTTAGTTGTTTTTTTGTTTTTTGGGTTTGGTTTTGTTTTAATTTTCTTTAATGTTTATTCAGTTTTGAGAGAGAAAGAGAGAGAGAGAGCACCAGCAGGAGAGGGGCAGAGAGAGGAGACAGAGAATCCGAAGCAGGCTCCAGGCTCTGAGCTGTCAGTACAGAGCCCGAGGTGGGGCCTGAATCCACGAACCATGAGATCATGACCTGAGCCAATGTCAGATGCTCAACCAACCGAGCCACCCAGGCGTCCCTGGGTTTTGTTTTTGTTTTTGTTTTTGACGGAGAGAGAAAGAGTGAGGGAGGGACAGAGAGAGAAAGGGAGAGAGAGAATCCCAAGCAGATTCCATACCCAGTGTGCAGCCCAACGTGGGGCTTGATCTCACCAGGCTGAGATCATGACCTGAGCCAAAATCAGAAGTCGCTTAACTAACTGAGCCACGCAGGCGCCTCTGTCCCCTATTTGTAACCGTGAAAGTTACATTTGGGTGAAATGTAAGAAATATCCCCTCTTGAACCTCAGTCCAACAGTGCCTCGTCTATCAGTGACGGCAGTGGAATGCTTACTTATGTTGATAAATAATCTATTAGTCATCAAAGGAAAGTAACAGTAAGATTCTTTTGTTTGCATTTATTGGGCAGAAGATGGTGTAACACCCTCCCCTCCCCCAACAATACTCCCCTAAACCACTTAAATGTTAATTCACATTACTTTTACTTAGGATAAGAATAGTGCATTAAAATGGCATGTGTTTTGCCAAGCTTAGAAGATTACTTCAAATGAATGAAATGGATATTGGAATTTTTTAACATGAGGAAGAATTTTCTGGAAAGAGAAACCAGTTCTACAGAAAGTTCATAAATTATCAGGTCATTACTCTTAGTTTTAAATAGGTCTTCCAAAAAGTGTTTTAGGGAAACAGTAACATGAAACAAAAATCTATGAATTTGTTTTGTCTTGAGGCAGACTGTAAATGTTGGAAATTTGTTTTGGATCAGAAAACCCTGAGCAGTGGGAAAATGTCACTTGCTCCAAGGTTAAATATTAGGTTACAGAAGTCCTGATGTTCTCGCTGCCCATTAATGGATATGGACAAATCTATCTCTGTTCAATTATACTTTTCATGTATTAAGATAAAAACCCAAAGCTCAGGGTCAATAAGACACCTTGTGCTTAAAACTGCCTCCACTGCCCCTCCCTGGCCCCTCAGGGGTGTTGATCAGAATGAGTTCTGCTCTGTGAGCCCATTAATTGATCATTTGAGAATGACGGGTATGATGGCCAGGACCCAGCCCCCCTATGCATCAGCTAGCTACAGCCACAGAAGAATGCTGCGTAACCAAGTGTCTCCAAACTCAAGGGCTTAAAACAGCAATCATTTATTCTCATGGATCTTCAGGTCGGTGGAGGGTCAGATTCAGCTGGATCTTGACTGACTCGCCCGTGCATGTGGGGGTGAACGGAGGGGAGGTTGATCTCTGCTAGGCTCGGGTGATCCACTTTAGCTCCGCTCCACGTGTCCTTCGTTGTCCTGCTGGAGCCAGTCGGCCACCCTGGGCATATTCTTCTCGTGGCAAGGTGACACTTCAGAGGGCAAGCAGAAACATGCAGTAACCCTAAGGTCTAGGCTCAGACCTGGTGTACTCTCACTTTAGCCTTATTCTGTTGGTCACAGCAAGTCATATGGTCAACCCCAAAGTCAGGGGAAAGGAACATATTCTGTGCCCCTTTAGTGAGAGGAACTGCAAAGTCACACAGCAAAGGGCATAAGTATAGGGAGGGGTAAATTGGGACCCATAAGGCAATCTGCTGTACCACCACATAAAGAAGAAGGCAGCTCTCCTGGGTGGCTCAGTCGGTTAAGCGTCCGACTTCGGCTTAAGTCGTGATCTTGCGGTTTGTGGCTTTGAGCCCCGCATCAGGGTCTGTGCTGACAGCTCAGGGCCTGGAGCCTGCTTCGGATTCTGTGTCTCTTTCTTATAATTCCGTCATCCTCAACTCAGACATGTGACCTAGACTGTGTGGGGAGATTTTCTGAATCTCAGAAGCAGTGTCCTTGGATGAAAGGTCTAAGCCTCTCCTTAGGATGCGTTATTTCCCGGGAGGCCCCCTGGTCTCTCAAAATAGCCTTTTGTCTGGATCCCCCATTAAACCTTCATTGTATCTTGGGCCCATAGCTGTCCCCAAAAGAGTCATCAGAGAAACATTAATTGGTAATTGGATAGGGAAAGATACAAAACCAAATGGTAGTTCCAATTACCTTGCATTTCCCTGGACCTCCATGTAGAGCCAGGCACAAAGTGAGAGAAGGCACAGTCCATAAACTGCTGGTGGAAGCCAAGGTCTGAATTTGGTTGACAAAGGCTTGGTGGCCAGAATCAGAAACAAGCTGCTCTGGTTATCATTTCTGCCTCAGGTGGGTTGCACACCCCTTCATGGTTCAAGTCAAGAACTGGGCTCCAAGCTGCAGAAGTGAACAGTGTGCGTGCCCTGCTCTCCTGACATGCGCAGTGTGGGTTGGAGAGGACAGCTGGGTGATGGTGGCACCACCTGGTCAGTGCTCGAAGAGAGGCAGATGGGTCATTGTAGGACCAGAGAGCAGCTTCCAAGGGGAGGAATGAAGGGAGTGAGGAGGAGGATGCGGGCATCCTGGGCAGAGGGAAAATGTGAGCAGAGGCATGGCAGTGTGGAGGGCTGATTCCCATGAGATCTGCAGGTGTCTGGAGTGAAGGAGGGGGTCAGGAGAACACAGTGAGAGATGAGGCAAGACTGAGAGAGACTGACGTGGGATAGGTCATTTTGTCCTCTCTTCCACTCAGCAAAAGCTTGGGTTTTGAGTCAGCCATCCATCTCAGTTCTTAGTCCCTGGCACAGACCATGGTGTCTCCCCAACTATTTCAAAAGGGCAACTTGGACATGATTTTTGCATTTCATAGCGTCTCTAGAACCTGGCTCTTGTGTTCGCTGTGACCCACTGTACTGAGAAGCTGAAGCCAAGTGGTAACCGAGAAAGATCCTTCCAATGACTGGGCGGAGGGTGTAGACAAGGTGTTGTGGCTGGAAGCAGCCAAGTACCCACCGGACTGAGGAGGCTTTGTCTGGAGAGGATGGAGGGAAAGACATCTGGGAATGATTGGGTCCCCCAGAGTGGCCGGGGATCAAGCCAGGAAATGCTATCTGTGACGGGGACTCATGATGTTTTTATTTTTCTCTCCGGAGAGCATGAATTCTGGCAGGCCTGTTGTCTCTTAAAGCAATCAAACTCTTTAATTAGAGTTCACAGTCTTTAATGGTCTTGAGCCTATTTCCAAAACATGCCATTTCCAAAACGTCCAGGAAGAGGGATGAAGCTGTTTAGATCGTTTCTATGAAACAGAACTGAAAACTCCATTTGTAAAATGATGCAACTGTTTTGTTTTGTCTGTCTGAATACTTACAGTACCTAAGACTATATCACGTGTGATTAAGATAAAGAAAAAGAAATATAGACTATGGCAGTTGATCTATCTGTCTATCCGGATGCATCCCATAGGAGACCAGTGGAACATTTCAGTGCCTTCTGGCTCGCCAACTGGAATAATGAAAGAACTCTTAAGGGAACTGAAGAGACACAGTGAAATATTTACGAAGTTAGAAGAACCATCTAGTGGCCACATTTAATGGTCCAATGTTTGTAGCCTTAGCGATGCTATTACCACAGTGGGGGTGGGGGGTCAGGAGCATTTCCCAGAATCCTTGGCGGGGAGACCACTGCATCCATGAAAAATCAGGCTTCAAGAGGAGGATCGCGGCACGCAGAGAGCTGTTTAGAACTTGAAACAAATTATTCTTCTCAAAAGTAGCAAAGTGGCCAGAATCATCCATGGCACCGCAGGTAGTAGAAGTCAAGTCTTGTTTGATAAAGGGGAAGAGACCC